GTTGTGTGGATCTTTTTGGCTCCACACTGTCCCGGGATCTTCACGGACCTCTCCCTGCGGTTCTCTGCTGTTCCTCTTTGCTGCTTCTGTAGCGTTCTATCCCTCTCTCACTGGATGCTCCCTCACAGCCTTCCTCCTACGTCGGCAATCTTAAAAACCCCTGTTCGGAGATTTTTATACTGACAACTTACAGTGGCCACCAGTGTGTTTCTATCATGTTAGCTTTTAGGACAGATCTGTGATTTGTTTCCAGGATCGCAGGTCATAAGCATGAACATAAGCAGTATTAGGTAAGCTCTAAGGAGGAACTAGTTTACTGTTAGTGAGAGATATTTACATATAGTTGTGTTCATTATAGATAGCATGTGGTTATAGGATATTTCTAGTTGATTTGTCTACTTGTATTTCAGTTTGGTAGTTGCTTCATCTACTGGCTTATATTTCAGCTTTACTATAATGAAGTGTATTTTTAACAAATTTTTGCATGACTCCCATAGTCTTTTGATTTCTTTACTTTGTTTTCTAATTTTCTTATTTCTTCTGTCCTGACTTTTTCTTTCTTTCTTCTTGTAGTTAAAATATTCCCACTTTTCTGTTGACAGAATGAAAAACACATAGGATTTTAGAATTGTAGGGCATCTTGAAGACTAATGAAATATCTTTTATTACTCCAACATGTGTTTAACACACAATTCATATGGTTATTCAGATGGGATACCTGAAATTCAATCAGTCTGTAATGACTTATGTAGGTGTAGGACTTGGAAGAAATGAAATATTAACTTAGATTTCTTCACTCTAATCCAAGAGCTCTGCATTATTTGTTATCACTTAGATATATTTTAATAGTAGAAAAAGAAAGTAGAACTAGTGTTCCCGGTGGACAGATAAAAATAGAATTAGCAGTCATATCCAACGGAAGAAGATAAGAATATATTTAAGAGTTAAAGACCGAGTTGTAAGAAGAATAACAGTAACAGGATCATCAGAATTGAGGTTTATGACCGAGGTTCAGTATAAGAAGAAAGGACAAGGACTTGGGGAATTGCCTAGGAAGGTGTGTTAAGATTAGAATTCCATGGGCAGACAGTGCAGTGCAGCTGGTTAAGCTGCAGCTCGGGATGTTCCCATTCCCAATCATTGTGTCGGCTTGGGTCTGGCTACTGTGGTTCCTGTTCATCACTTCTTTTATCTGTTTATCTGCAGTCTGTTGCATAGCATTTTCCCTATGATCACTATTTTAAATTCTTTTTCAGGACTGTTCTAGATTTCATACACATCAATGTCTATCTCTGGAAAATGACTGATTTCTCTTAGAGTAGTCATACTACTTTGTTTTCTCATATTTCCTATGTTCTTGCACTGACATAAGTATATCTGCCATGCTTTTTTTTAAAGCATAAATTTCCATTTTGTTTTTCAAGATGACAATTTTTCTTCAGCCCTTAAAGACCATGCTGCTTACATGGGTTTTGGTGGAGGTCGTGGAGCAGCATGAGTAGGTCTGAAATTAGGGCGGTGGGGTCCAGTCCTAGCAGGTTTCACGAGATCAGTTTCTGACCACGTGGCTGTGAATGGCGCAGCTCCACGTACAAACTGGGAAGCATGTACGTGTTGAACATGCTCGCTTCCGAGATATCCATCACAGCTCTGGCCTCCACTATGTTCTGGTTGATGAACTTCTTGCTGGCTTTGTCTTTGGGCATGCACCACACCCAGTTGGTGCAGTGTATATGGTGCATGTGGTTAAACCTTTTTTTTTTAGCGTAGTGGTTTTTCCTCCTGTTCTTTGTCTATGACAAGATGTGGCCACAGCTACCTGTCCTGGCACATCTGACCCTCTCCCCATCCCAGTGTCTTGTTCTCTTGGGTCTCCATGTTCACTTCCTCACTGAGGACTATGACCTTAGGCGCCCAGCAACCCACTCTTGGACCCTGAAGCAACAATGTGCCACTGCTCACCAGCTTGGAATGGAGAACCTCAAAACTGCCATGATCATTTTGATTAGAATAGGTTTCACTGGAAAAGACTTTTTTGAATGATGGCTGTGACTTGAATTGTTGATTGGGCTTTGGTTATACTTGACTCTCACAATGTAACTCCTGACTGATTTCTTCTGCGCTGATCAATGTCTGCAGTGTCTGCAAGAGCCACACTTAACTGTCTGCAGCTGTATGTGGAGGCAGTCATATTACTGGAGTGGGCAGGACATTTCACAGGTGTATTTTTTAGTCCCCAGGATGTTGGGTTTGAAGTATACCCAACTGCAAGCTTTTGTTTGTTTGTTTGCTTTAATTTGTAGTCATGTTTCTGATGCTATAGGACACAGAGGCCCTTTTCCCCTTTTCCTGCTCAATAAGCAAGAGTGATGGTAAGCCTGTTGCTCCAATGACTATGGCTTTCAGACTGTATGATGTGGATGGCGATACCACAAGTTTTGGCAATGTGGGACTCAATAACCCTAAGACTTAGCACCGAAAGCCCAATTCCCAATACTTGGAGATATTAAAGGGACTTTATCCAATGGCACAGTTTGACTAAGAGACAATGCAGAGGGTTGTACACGAGCAGTTTTTGATTGAAACAGCACATTCTTCCCTTAGTCTTATAGATTCTGTGCCAATTACTCTGAGGAATGTAGTGCTAATAGTACCAATTGTCACAGTGCTGCAGGATGCAGTGTGCTCTTTACCTAAGCACTTCTCTCAGGTTGAAGGCCAGTTATTCCAGATATCATGAACTGAGTAAGCAGTCTGTAGCAGTGGGTTGTAGGCAGAGCCCTCTGGTTGACACAGGAGAGAGCAAGCTACTTCAGGAGTCATAGTACCACCACCAGCACAGTCCTGGAGTCCTAGAGCAGATGGCCCCAGTTCTTGCAGGACATCCAAGGTGATGCCTGGGATTGTACTGTTGCTTAGCAGACCCTGTGGCAAGAACTCCTCAGGCTGAGACTTAGCATACTACACCACCATGTGAGCAAGATTGTGTTGCCTGGCTAGGACACTGAGGTAGGACTGACAGAATTTTTCGTTTTCCACTCTAAGCTGGATTTTAGTCTGCTGTTTGTTGTCCCTGTCAATTATTCACTGAAACTTTTCCTAAGTCTTCTAGAAATGTGGTTTGTTTCCATTGAAACTTCCTTGGTGAAATGGCTGTAGATTATCTGCTTTCAGGCATGTTCTGTCATTTGTAATTTTTCAAAATAAGTGAAATAAATGGGTAGCAGATATAATGGATTTGGGAAATTCTGGCCATGGTGTTACAAATCATCAGTATTGCAAATAAATCAGATAATGCTGAAATGTATTGTATTGTACAGACTGCTGTCTAGGCATGTCTGTCTTAAAAGAGCTGTTTAATGCTGTATAGTTTTGGGGACAATTGGAATGTAATAATTAAATGGCTTGTAAAGGCATAGGGGGTTAATATCTATCATAGCAGCCTGGTATTTCGGGGGAGACTGTTCATTCTTTTACACTCAGGGTGTATTTACAATGTAAGCTAGCAGGCCCAGGCTGTGAGACAGGATAGTTAATCTAGGTGTTTCATGTTGCCAGCAGTACAATTTCTTTAATGGTCTCCATTGCCTCCGAGTAAGTTGAAAGTAGGAACCAAAACTGGGAATAAAAATCTGGCACTCCAATGGGTTATTTGGGCATCTTAACTGCAGATGGGATATTATAATATGGTTGAATATTAGAGTATTGAAGTAAAAATTAAATAGTTACGCATAAACTTTTTAGATTTGTGATTACAAAAACATTTAGGCTGTGCTTTACAGAATTCTATTATTCCTTGCTAATTCTACTTGTTACAGAATCATTGGCATAATCAACATGAGCACCTATGACTTTGCAAGGTTTGCTAAAATAGTTCAGCTTCTGCGGGAAAGGACAGAATTTTGTGTAAGATAAGAGAGTAAACCATTGATGATCTGTCACAGATCATGACTTTTGCATTATAAGGTTCTAAGATATAAAACTCATGGTTCCCTGTTGATATGTGTTAGGTGCTCAATAAGTATTTGTAAAATGCAAGGATAAACAACTTAACAAATTGACTAATGTCTGCTGATGAATTTCTTCATTCAGAAAAATACACTTTAGTTCATCTAATGTAGACTCTGAAACATGCGTATATTTAAAACTTATGATTCTGGCAGATATCTACAGGAGTCACAATGTAGTGTTCATATAGCAATAGCCAATAGAATGATAATATTGGTTATTCTGTCTTTAAATTTCTTGGAAGTGTAATTTGTACTTTGTGGAGCCTGAATTCCTAGGATTGAATCCAGAGTTTGCTGCTAAGAAGCTGTGTGAACTTAGGCCACTGACTTGGCCTTGTTCTGGCTAGGTATATCTTCTGTAATATTTCTAATATGTTACTTTTCTCATGGAATTGTGAGGTTTAACCCTCACCATTGTGAGTTTAATGCATGTACAATACTTAAAATTATATTTACTGATTGCACAGTAAGTTCTGAATAAATCAATAACAGCATCATTAATAAAGGGTTAGCTCACAGAAATATAAATTAGCGTTTTCCAGTTAGGATTTAGTGAAAGGGAGAAGCCCTACCTAGCCTCCCACCCATCCCAGAATCCCTGCTGTGGGGCCTGCTCTGAGGGTCCTACTTAAGTGGTTTTGATAGTTCAACAGTTCTGAATTGCTGCCAATCTTGCCATTCCAAGCACGATGAAATCCCTCCAGAATCCACTGGCTGACATAGTCCACCTCTTTTCTAGCTTTCGAATAAATAAATGTTTAAAAATGCAAATAACATTTTCATTTAATTTTGACTGCCAGAAAGATAAACTAAATTATTTTGTTTTAATACTGCTGATAGCATACCTTTTTCTGATGTTACTATTAATGTTCATTAAATCTTATGCAAAAAGTACTTTGTAAAAGATAAATGAAGACATGTAAAAGTATAATAGTATATTTCTTACATTTTGTATATATAATATTTTGAAAGTGCTTATTTGTTTTTTAGGCCTTCAAGGAAAGTGATTAATGGAATTAAACAGGTATTACACAAAATATTAACATGTATTATTGTATTGAAAAATATGTTACAGAAGACAAAGTGCTGTATTACAAAAGCCTGAATTTCAAAATAAAATGTGAAAGGTAAATCAGAAAAAAAAAAAAACAGGAATTTTGTAAAGGTCTCTATTTTAGAAGTGTGATTGAAACAGTAGGATTGTTTTCTTCAAGTAGGTTTTTAATTTTCTTTTTCATTGCTTCAGGGACACATTAGTCATTCAGTAGCATTGTGTTTAATTTCATGATGTTATGAATTTTCTGTTTTCCTTCATCTTGTTTATTTTGTTGTATGTTTTTTTTTTTCTTATTTAAGGTGGTATATACTAACTGTGTAATGGAAACTATCACATTCAAATGTGAAGATACAATGCAGTATGCATCTCTACTTCCAAATCAAAGAACTACCCCCAATGAAATTGTTGAATATATCTTGACAACAGAATGCTGGATGCTCTGCCATTGTCCATACCTACAATGTCAGGATACACTTAAATAGCAGAATGACGGACCTAGTACTCTTTATGAAGGACTATACTACTGTAGCAATATAGGGGAAATCAGTGGAAAGGGGGAAAGGGGCTGTGGAGAGGGGGAAGTGAAATCCTGGAGCCTATGGGACTGTATCATGAAATAATAAAATAAATAAAAAAGAAAATTATGCAAATACTTCTGTTTTTAAGAGCAAAATTCAAGAAATTAAAAAAAAAACAGTACCTTTGTATGAGCATCTTTTTAACAAGAACTCAGGCCTTGTGAGAAGTATGTGTCATGTCATTTTTCTTATGCAGAAAATGAGTCATCATTACTATATTTATAAATAATTGTCTGGATTTTAAAGGACACTTTAAAACTTATTTACTTATTTAACAGGGTCAATGCCAAATAAGTTCCACAGATGATGAGATAACCCAGTCACTGGAGATAGTCTCAGAGGAATATGAGTGGCCTCAATCTAAGAATTCTCTGTTACTAATTGAAGAACTGCGAATGCACTGTAAAGGTAAGACACCCAGCTTGCCTTTTCGTATGTACCGTAGTAATATCTGCACGTGCTGTTCAGCACTGAGATGAACTGTGTATTAAAACTGAGTGAAATCTGGCGTACACTGTGTGCTCTCAGCCAACACTAATGATGATTCATACAGTAATTTTCTCAGGGAGAATGGCAGTCCCAGTTTTTTGTTGATTTTCTTGGTTATCACATTCTCCCTCCTTGAATGCTGCAGTAACCCTGCTCCCTTATGTCACCAAAACATGGTCTGGTCTGCAGCCATAATTTTATTCATTTGAAAGCCATCTGGTGACGTTATTGCCTTGCTTAAAACCTGAGTGTCACTTGTCATTTTAGTGAAGTTAATAATCTTAACTCGTTAGCCTTTGTACTGCACCATAGTATTTGCTTCTTTGTATGTGCCAACCACTGTCTTACACGTTTGTTGCTGAAGTAGATTTTGTTCTCCCTTGACTTACTTAGGTGTAATTTCTATGTAATAAATATCATATTTATAAAGTGTCCAATTTGCATGTTTTAAGTTGTGAGGAGAAACTGAATTTTTTAAAAAGATTTATTTATATTGGAAAGTCAGATATACAGAGAGGAGGGGAGAGAGAGAAGAAGATTTTCCCCCCAATGACTCACTCCCCAATTGACCATAATGGCCGGTACTGCGCCAAGCCACAAAGCCAGGAGCCAGGAAATTCCTCCAGGTCTCCCATGCGGATGCAGGGTCCCAAGGCTTTGGGCCGTCCTCGACTGCTTTCCCAGGACTCAAGCAGGGAGCTGGATGGGAAGTGGAGCTGCTGGGATTAGAACCGTTACCCATATGGGATGGCAGTGTGTTCAAGGTGAGGACTTTAACCACTAGGTCACCATGTCAGGCCCGAGAAACTGAATTTTTAAGTAGCCTCATGAGTAAGATATTTAACAGAACCATCATCCCCCAAATGTGTCTATGTCCTCCTGTATGATTTAATAAAAGACTGCTGATTATTTTTCAAACTGTTGGCATCACTGTCCAGTCTCATCAGTATTTTATGAGAATTCCAGTCCCCATGTATCTTCACAAATAGTATTGTCTGTTTTTTAAATATTAGCCATTCTACTGGGTATGAGTTGTAATTACCGTATGTTTTTACTATGGATTTCCATAGTCACTAATAATAATGAATATTTTTCAAGGAACCAGAATGTTTCACCGGCTTAAAATAGATTTTTTCTTTATTATAGAAACCACTAGATATGTAATAGATAGATAAATATATAGGTTGAGAGATACCCAGTGTTTTTTTTTTTCCAAAGCCTTTTTTTTTAAAGATTTATTTTTATTGGAAAGGTGATATACAGAGAGGAGGAGAGACAACAGAGAGGAAGATCTTCTGACTGATGATTCTCTCCACAAGTGACCACAATAGCTGGAGCTGAGTCAATCTGAAGCCAGGAACCAGGAGCTCTTCAGGGTCTCCCACACAGGTGCAGGGTCCCAAAGTTTTGGGTGGTCCTCGACTGCTTTCCTAGGCACAAACAGGGAGCTGAATTGGAAGCGGGTCTGCCGGGATTAGAACCGGTACCCTTATGGGATCTTGGTGCATGCAAGGCGAGGACTTTAAGCGCTGCACTATTGCACTGGGCCCTCCAAAGATATTTTGTCCTGACATTTTTCTTAATATGTTTTGAGCAGAAGTTTTAAATTTTGATGATATCTAGTATGTCTGTGCTCAAGCGTGGGTTTTACTTTTTCTATTGTATCAGTGTTTTCCTAGAATGAGGTAGAAATATTTCCTCCTATACTTTCTTCTAGAAGTCTTATTATAGTTCTCAGTCCTGCATTTAGAGTTATGATACTTTTATGCTGATTTTTTGCAAAAGACTTTATATGTAAAGCAAATTTCATTATTTGAATGTGTGTATCTAATCATTTTATTCCGTATGTTTAAATAATTATCCCTTCTTCACTGAATTATCATTATTGGTTAATCAAAATAAGTTGATTGTTTATATGTACACCTATATCTGAACCTTCTGTTATGTCCCATTGACTTTTGTGGTGTTCTTATAATTTTCATTTTGTTGTGATTGAAATATATTTCTATAATAATTCTTGATGTCATCCACCTGATCTTATTCTTTCTGGAGGAGTATTTTGGCTGACTCATATACTTTGTACCTCCACATGAATCTGAAATCCGTTTGTCAGTTACGATGATATTCTGTTGTCTAGCTTAGAATCAGGATCAAATTTATTGTGTCTGAGGTTAAAATGTAGAGGGAATTGATGTTTTAGTAGTAATGATTCCTGGGTATGCTGTTGTGTGAATCCCTGTCTAATGGTTCACCCCCCCCCCAGAAGCTCATTCCTCAATGGTGAGCCCTCCTTGCTGGGGGTGGGGAGCAGAAGAGGGTATTTGATTGAGCATCCCAAGGGGGGGTTCTCCTCAGGTTTGTCTTTCTTCACTGGTGTTTTGTCATAATATTGTTTTGTCCCCCCACTGTCTCTTTGATGAAGATCCTGTTGGAGGGCTTCCTCTTCCTGTTCCCTACATACTGGTTCAAAACTCATCAAGCTTTTACTTGTGGTTTGGGATGACTTCCCATATCTTGACTGCACTCACATCTATGGCCTGCTAGCTGCAATCCTGGAAATTCTCAGAAAATTTTCCTTGTCTGGGTGTCAGCCACCTTCCTCCAGTGAACTCCAGGGAGTTTCTGTCCTCTCTACTGGCAACCCTCCCTTTCCATGTTACTGCTCCGCTTGTTCCTGTCTTAAAGCTCTCTGCACTTCAACTACCCCTGCCTTTCCTGATTGGCCTCCTTGTCATCTCCAACAATTCATTTTTTAACAGCTGGTTTAGTTTCTCATCAAAATTAAAGGGGAGATACAGCTATTACAACCCAAGTTTGTCCCACCATCTCTTTTATCAATATGACCCTTCTTTCAAGAAAGCTGTTTATTTTATGCAAGTTGTCATTTCTTATACACACCAATTTCATATCATCATATTGTTCTTTTAGCAGCTGTGGAATTTGCAGTAATATTGCATTGTTAATTTTTTATGTTGACACTTTGTATATTTTATTTTCACAGTCAGCCTGACTAGACAGACATTTCTCAGTTTTATAATCTAAATGCAATTTCATTGAGTTTGTTGTCAGTTTTCTGTTTAACCAATTTCAGATTTCATGTTGTCACAATTTTTCCTGACTGCTGTAATAACATAACAGTGTGTAGCTTATGAATAACAGAATATATTTATTTCCATTTCTGGGAGCAGACAAGTTCAAGACCAAGACACTTCCAGGTGTCTTTTTTATAATGCTTCCACATCCAATTTAACTTCCTTAAGGCCTTACCCAGTAATGGTACCATCACCTCTGTGATTACATTTCTGCATTTGAATTCTGTTCTTAGAACACAGCAGATGTTTATGCTGGATTTCTTCTTCTTTTCTTGGAATTAAGGTACTCTTTTTCCCTAGTTTTTTAAGGTGGATGTGAAGGTCATTGGTTTGAGATTCTTCTGAGTGGGCTTAAAGTGCAAAGAAAATACATTGTTTTAAAATTTTCATGCAAGCTTTCTGAATGTATTGTATAGATAGCTCTAAAATGTTCTTAATCTAACTGTTCCTGTAACTATATTATACAAAGTCTGTTGTTGTGTTTTAAAATTCCTTCAGTAACAAGTGTTTTGTGATTTCTCTCATCAGTGCCTCTAAAACTCAGAGCTATTTTAGTATGTATTGCTTTATTTCCAAATGCCCGAGTCCAGCTCCAGCTGAGTTCGGAGCTTGAGAAGGGTGTGTGGAGTTGGCAATAAGAAAAGACACAGACACTATCACTTGGTGCCCTCTTGTAACAGCTCAAGAGAAAGCTGTCCTTTTTATTTACTCAGACATACTACATGCTTCTGCGCAAACGTTTGATTGTTCCATTTTAACTTCCTGACTATGTGGGTATGCACAGAGATTGATTATTTTTGTTTTACTTCATGGTCAACCAGGTGCTCTTAAAGATAATTCTGCAACTTACTATAATCATTTTCTTCAAAGCAAGCCATTATTCATTCTTCAGTAGTAGCCACTGGGTGACAGCCAGGGCTCCAAGGCCAAGGCACCTGAAATTACATGCTAATTAGTAATACTTACTAATTCCTACCACATTTCCATTTCCACAACTTGCCCATTGTTTAGTAGGAAAAATATGTTACAAGGGAAAAAACGTAAAAATCCAAGAAAAAATTTTCAAGTATTAAATCCTCCTACAATTACAGGTTATATATCCCAACAAACAAATAATAACCAAACATGTATCTCTATGATATTAATAAAATCACCCTATAATTCCTCTAGTTAAAAAAAAATTATAAAAGCAGCTAAAACAGCCACATTCTATGTTCTAAAGAGTTGCAAGGGCAGGCTAAACTTTTAGGATCACAGTAGCTATATTTTTTGCCATAGCAGTTTCAACTCATACTCCCCTCACTTGGTTTACTTTGTAAGATTCTTATCAAGCCATTTCCCAGAAGGCATGCCACATGTCTGGGCCAGGTCTAACAGGACTTGACCAGACCAGACTCCCCACCTCCGCTGAGAAAAGGTTCTTATAACATTTTCTTGTTGCTTAGTCTTCAGCTTGCAGTGTTGTCCTGGCACTTATCAGGTCTAAAATACAGTATTCATTAACATGTTCAGTTAAATGTTAAATGTTAAATGTACTTTTTGTTTAACTAATTTACACCTCTAAATTCTTCAGTTTGAAACCAAGTCTCATGACTTTGAGGGTTCTAGTAGGATCCCTGGAACTCTCAAAGATTGAGACAAAAATTTGGATAATATAATTGTCATTTAAAATAATTTGGATTATAATCTCACAATATTATAAAATTATGCTAAATTTATTGCATCATATATGCTATTAAATAGATGAGTATTTATGCTCATTGGTTGAAATGTTTCCTACTCATGAAATTAATCCAGATTGTAAACTATTTGTGTTCTTACTTACAAGGAAGTATGTGAGATTTTGCCTTGCAGGAGAACAATGAATTCTTTAAAGATGTATAGTAAAATTGGTTATGATGTGTATAATTTCTGAATTTTGCCTTTAAGACAATGAAGTTGGAGTCTGATCCCTTGTGAAGAACGACAGTGTTTTAACATCCTTATAATAACCTTTTAAGTTATTTTAACATTTAAGTTATTTTAACATCTCCTTTTAAGTTATTTTCATCTTATTGATAACTAATAGATTCCTAAGTAGCCTCCCAAGACTACAGCCAAATTGAAGTTTTTTCAGCTCTCTTGACTTCAAGAAAACAAACTATGAAGAAGCTCCAGGCCTACCACCCATAGAAAAGGGCTTAGAAGGACATGCCCTTTGTAAGGAATTTAGGACCTTGGCCTCCTTCAGGTTCTCATTGTGATTCTTATCTGCCTTCTTTTGAGAAGGGGAAATTCCCAAATCAGCTAGAAGAAGGTTATTTGAAAAACTTCTCTTTCCAGGTTTTAAGGCGGGTTTGTGTTAAAATCTGTTTCCATGAATTGGGAGAAGTGGTTAAAATTGCTTAAAGCAGTTGTATTTAAAAGTTGGTATACTTTTATTCAAAAAAATGTAGCATTGCTTGTGGAATATTTTGTCCTACAGGGAAATGGCTATCATACAATGAAGAGGGCAAACTAGGACAAAATATTTAAAGGTTTAAGCATGTTAAAACAGAGGAAGTCAGAAAAGTTAAGAAATGAACTTTGTAAGCCTTATATATAATTGGCCATAATTTTAAAGATATTATTATAACATTGTTTAAGTTTTTAATGTTATTACCTAATTCATGCTGATGTTAGAATTAATATCTGTTCAAAAAGGTTTTCTGAAGTGTGCATACATAGAAATGCTAGTAAATATCTAAAAATAAAAATACCTGTATCTCTAATTTTGAAAGCTGTTAAAAAATTGAAGCATTGAATTTTAGATAATCTCTGCTTAATTGGTAACTTTGTCAATTGTCTATCCACTTTCAGTAAGCTCTATTTTTGTTCCAACCACTGAATTTGTTACAATTCTTAAAAAGTTACATGATTTTACCAAGAGCTATATTTTCAAGGGTATTTTCTGATATGTATTTACTTTGAAATGTTTGGGTGATCATTTCTAAGTGATAAAAATTTCTTAACATGTTAGCATTCAAATCAGTCTGACTAAATGAATGGACATTATAATGATGAATCTTCAATTAGATGCTTTAAGGCCTCTTGGCATATTAAATAGGTTTAATTCTTCTGGTTTTGGGATTTCTAGATGGGCCCCTAGCAGCCTCAAAGTCAGAAGAATGTGTTTCAAAGGTTGTATCTTTCAATTGGTAAAGTTATTTAATTGTAGGACAGACAACTGCTCTATTAAAAAAAAAAGGGGGGGGCATTGCTAAAGTTTGATAGTAAACTATAGGTATGGTTTATTCATATTATTAAAAGCAAAATGTAATTCTAAACGATTGGTAATGTTAACACACTCAAGAGAATTGTCAAGTAGCTGTTACAAAAGTTGTTTTGTTTTATGTGTTACCTGATACACATGTACATGTTTATGTGGCAAGCTATGTAGTCTATCTTAATTGGCTTATAGATGAAAATATTCATAAATGTGAATTGCTAAGTTGAATCATTTTGAGACTAATGTATGGATATGCTATTAAGCTTTTGGAAAAGCATGTCTTTTTATTTCTTTAAGACCTACAAGGCCTGTTCAGCTGAATAATTCTGAATGTATTCAAATGGACTTACTATTATGAGTACAGTTTCAAAACTGGCCATAGGACCCCAACTCCTCATGAACTAGATGGTAAAAGGAGCGATGCTGCTTCTACGCCAATAAGTCCGGGATTGTTCGAGACCGAATCCAAAAACATTAAGAAGAGCTCGAAGCAGTGCAGAGAACTGTTTCAGAACCCTGTATGGACAGCCTGGGGTGGGATATTGCCATATTTACTTCCCTTGTTGGGACCCCTGATCAGCATTTTGTGGATTGTTTCCTGTGGTGCTTGTATTGTAAATCGTATCACTCAGTTTATTCGGCAGCAGGTCCACTCCCTGTTGGCTAAACCCATCCAAATTCATTATCATCAGCTCGATTTGACAGATCAGGGCTACGATGAGCCCATAGCTGATTAAGCTCCAGCATGGAACTCAGACCCATGCACGCCTGCACAATGCAGCGTTGGGCACCGTAGCAGAGGTGCAGGCAGAGCACTGCAAGGGGAAGGCCGCAAGTCCTGCTTCTGAGTCCCCTGAGAGGTAAACCTGATTGCATAGGGGTTGGTGTCAGTGGTCCCAGGACCTTGCAACAAGATGGCTCTGCCCCTCCTCTCCAAAAGACACCAAGAGCCATTAGGTGGCGGGGTTGCTGACTCTTTATCCCCGCGAGAGGAATCAGGTCACTACCTCCCCTCTCCGGTCAAGGCCCACTGTCTCCTTTCTAGGAGCAGACCTGATACAATTTTGCCTGTTCAAAAAATATAGAAAGGGAGGAGATGCCGGGGACCAGAGAACTGCCGAACAGCAGGAGTGACTCCATTTTGTTATTTCCTCATTTTGTAATGGTCTTGGAATGCTAGATCGTTATCTTTCACCCAGATTCCTCATAATCTTTCACCTGTAATTGTTCACCCAAGATAACGGTTGTCCTGGTGACCTCTGCCCTATCTGACCCACATCCTGCTGTAAAACTCCCCCCACCCAGCCTTTACCTGCGGCTTAAATACTGCCTGAGAAAATAAAGTTTTCGGAGCTTGATCAGACCTCCTGTCTTGCTCCCATTCTTCGTGTCTCCTGTCCCCCCCAATCGTCGGTTCTCTCCCCAGGTCTCCGTTGAAGACCCCGCGGGCCGGGGCAAGGTCCTAGGGCAATGTGTAGGCACACAAGAAGATGTCCAGGAACGGCATGGGCTTAATTGTACTCATGTGTGTAGTTAAAGGCCCGCTCACCAGGACATTATCAATAACATTAACTCTGAAGCTCACATCAGTTACAGAAGCCACCTCACAGGGGTAAACAACAATGCTTCAATAGATTACAGAATTCTTAGTGGGGTGCTTGAGTGTCCAAGCAAAAAGAGGGTGAAACCACGTCAAGGTGGTCAGAGAGACATCTGCTGGGCCCTACCAAACAGCTGGAAGTGCCCCTGAACCCTGCCAAACAGGGGAGCTGTTCCCTTCGAATCATCCACACCTACTGCACACACCCCAGGATCCAAATATGCACACAATTAGGGAACATTTTCTGCACAACTTAAATCCTTTGAGATTAATTTATTATTTATATCTCCATGGTATGTCATCTAGTCTGTTATAGTAAATATTCCTTGATTAGTTGAAAAGAATAATGGCTCTCAAATGTATATTGTTTATTTTCACTCTACATCTTCTGTAACTGATTGATTGGCATCTTGAAATACAGGATGATATTTCTAAATTTTCTTTACACTTCTGTCCATTTTTCCTCACATATTTTGAAGTTTTTATTACATAGAATTAAGCTTGTCTATCCTTATGTTGGTTGATTTTTCTCCCAACCTTTTTTGCTTGTTTTAGATTAATGCTATGCTTTTTAAGAATTTTGTCGTCTTTCTCTTCTGTGAAGGATGTTAGCTATAATTCTTGATTTTGTCACTTTGAGAGTTGCTTCAGTCTGTATAATTTTTCATTGTCCAGTGTGGCCATGTCTTTCTCAGGAAGATTTGCCCTTGGCCCAGTGTAGATCAGAATGTATAATGTGATTATAGAACTCTATTTTCTTACAGAATTTCAAAGTTGTAAATTGATGAATTTCCTCCAGTAGACTGTAAGCTAAATAAAAACAGGGATATTCTTTTTTATCTGGAAAGCTCAGCACAATATATTACATTGCAGATATGAACTATACATTTTTCAGTGCCTAAGTGAGTGAAATATGAAAACAATTACAGAGTTTATAGGGAAAATATCATAATTTATTTCTATATTTATTTCTTTATAAAAGATTCTGTCAGCTTATTGAAAATCCAGGATGCAGTACTTGCATATGAAAGATTAATAGAATTTAAAAAAAATCACTGCAGACTCCTAATAAGAAAAGCTAAACATATGGAAAATAAGGTGTGTAGACTACACAAAAAGCTCTCAGAACTAAGAGAAGTGAAATCACAGTTGGAGCAACAAGCAGTGGAATGGGAACAGAAGTGCTGCAGTTTGAGGTATGTCATTCTACTCATAAGGAAATATTTAAACTATATGATGTTTTCAAAATCATACTTATTTATTTGAGAAAGACTGTATGAGACATGATTGTCTGGTAAACTCATCAAATACCTGTAAAGGCCTGGGGCAGGATAAGGGCCAATGCCAGCATTTGAGCGTTTTGTCTGAGTGGTGAGCAGCCTGCATTACCTGCATCGTAAGCACTCATGTCCTGAATGTGCATTGGCAGGAAGCAGGAATTGAACCCGGACACTCCTGCAAGGGGCACAGATACCTTAATTGTTAAATAAAATGCAGCCCTGAACTATTTACTTTGTGCTGCAAACGTGCAGGAGAATTTGAGTTCCTGTCATATCTGCAGATACTTTATACAAGGGACCTTTTAGTCATGAGTGATGAGAAATTCTTGGAAAGGACATGTACATATCGGGTTTATAATTGGATAATTCGGATAATAAATGCTTATTTTTCAAAATCATAATTAGAATGACTATACATGTTTCTGTAAGATGAAATTTCATTCTTAACAAGTTGAATTTTTGCTGTTTTTTAAAGGTGTATTTATTTTATTGAAAAAACAGATTTACAGAAGGAGACAGAGAGAAAAATTTTCCATCATGTGGTTCACCCCCCAGATGGCCTCAAAAACCAGAACTGAAACATTCCCAAGCCAGGAGCCTCTTCCAGGTTTGCTTCATGGGTTCAGGGTCCTAAGGCTTCAGGCTGTCCTCCATTATTTTCCCAGGCCATAAACAGGAAACTAGATCAGACATGAAGCAGCCAGGATATGAACTGGCATCCTTATGGAATGGATGCAAGACAGAAGATTAGCCATTTGAACCATCATTGGTTCCACTTTATGAAAATACTGCTAATATAATAAGGAACATCATTTTATAAATCTTTAAAATTTCTAATTGTGTAAATTCTTCTATAGATGTGTTTATCAAATTGAAACTTTAAAAAAAATCGAATGTTCCTGCATCATTCTCAAAAAAGTTTATATTCATTTACAATTGAACAGTAGAGTTTGAGGTGACCATTTTCTAATTCCATGATGCTTTTAAAAGTTATTTTATGCTTAATTGTAATAAAAAGTAAATGAAAATGTTCACATAAAAATAAAATTTTTTGTATTTGAAAAAGCTTTGTTACTCTATATTACATATTGTCCTTCAAATTTTTTTGAAACTGTTTGTAAAACTTAGAATACTTCTGGCCGGCCTGGTGGGCTATTGGTCTAATCCTTCACATGTGGCACTGGTGTCCCGTGTGGCTACTGGGTGGGGTACTGGCTGCTGTTCTTCGAATCCAACTCCCTGCTAATGGTCTGAGAAGGTAGCAGAGAATTATCCAAGTCCTTGGGAGCCTGAACCCGTATGAGAGTGACCTGGAAGAAACTTTTGTCCCCTAGCCTCAGAGGTCATCTCTAAAGTTCATTTGGGGAGTGAACCAGTGCATGCAAGATTTATCTGTTCTTGTCAAGTCTCTTGCTGAAACTCAAGCAAAACTAAAATAAATTAGAAAAAGTTAAAATATTCAACAAGAAAATGGAACAATTATCACCAAAAGAGCAATGAAAAACGTGTACAGTAACAGCTACTTTATTTTCTATTCACGGATTACTGCACTCTGAAGATACATTGTGTGAAGATACTGGATGGTGCTACTTTCCGTTGTGAATCATTTTCAAGGATTCTTGAAATACGTTATGGAAATATTATATAAGTGCTAACATTAAAGTTAGTGAAAGCTCTAAATTTTTTTTTTTGCTTTATAATTTTTTTTATTGTTGCTTACATTGTATTATGTAGTACAGTTTTATAGGTGCTGGGGATTCCCCCCACCCCTCCCATACCCCTCCCCCCATGGTGGATTCCTCCACCTTGTTGCATAACCATAGTTCAAGTTCAGTTGAGATTCATTGCTTGCAAACACATGCCTAGCATAAAGTTCAGCGTCATATTGTCCAGATAAGTTCAGTGGCCTCTTGGGGAGACCTTCTATGGTCTGAAGATAGGTCTAACAGAGTAAAGATCCGGTCAGTTAAAAGCCCCAACAAGGCCTCAGTATCAATATACAACATTATGGAATTAATTGACATAGTATTGGGTAAACAATATGTTAAAAATAATGCAAGTTCCATTCTTCGAAACATCTGGGTTGAGACAGTATCAATGACAGGTTCAAAAAATAACAAACAACCATACAAAAATTACAGGTTAAATCAAGGCAAACATGTGGTATCTAATCGTTTGGGATTCGCTCATTTCCCTTAGCATTATAGTTTCCAGTTGGGCCCATTTAGCCACAATGAACTGCATTTTGTTTTTTTTAATAGCTGAGTAGTATTCCATGGAGTAGATGAACCAAAGCTTTCTTATCCAATCTTCTGCTGATGGGCATTTTGGTTGCTTCCATGTTTTTGCAATTACTGATTGTGCTGCAATGAACATAGGGATGCATGTTGGTTTGTCGTAAAACAGGTGTTTTGGATATATTCCTAGGAGTGCTATTGCTGGGTCATATGGTATGCAGATTTTGAGTTGTTTGAGTGTTCTCCAGACTGATTTCCATAGAGGCTGTACCAATTTGCAGCTCCACCAGCAGTGGAGTAGGGTTCCCTTTTCCCCGCATCCTCGCCAGCAAGCGTCGTTGGTGTTCTTGTTTATGTGGGCCAATCTTACTGGTGTTAGGTGGTACCTCATCGATGTTTTAATTTGGATTTCCCTTATTGCTAGGGAGCTGGAACATTTTTTCATATGTTTGTTTGCCATTTGGATTTGTTCCTTTGTGAAATGTTTGCCCATTTCCCGTGCCCATTTCTTGAGTGGCTTGTTCGTTTTGGTTTTTTGGTTGTTTTGAAGTTCTTTGTATATCCTGGAAATTAGCCCCCTATCGCCTATATCGTGTGCAAAGATCTTCTCCCACTCTGTGGGTTGCTTTTTTGCTTTGTTGATTGTTTCCCTTGCTGTACAGAAGCTTCTTAGTTTGATGAGGTCCCATTTGTTTATTCTGTTCTCAACTGCTATTGCTTTTGGTGTCCTTCTTAGAAAGTCGGAACCTACTCCTAGGTCTTGCAGGGTATTTCCTACATTTTCTTGCAAGAGTTTGAAGGTTTCTGGATGTAGGTTTAGGTCTTTTATCCATGTAGATTGGATCTTTGTGTATGGTGATAGATGTGGGTCTATCTTTTTGTTTCTACAGGCTATCAGCCAGTTGTCCCAACAACATTTACTAAAGAGGCCTAGAAGATAGTTTTCTTTCAAATATTCATGTTTCTAACTATCAAAAATATCTAAATTTTATTTCACTTTATACTGAAGTTTATACTCATTATAAATGAGGCTTATAACAAGTACATGAACCCTAACTATATCTTTTCTGATGTGCCATATGATGTGACATTGATCCACTCATCTGAGTGCTTGCTTCAACAACTCCATATAGTTGCCAGGAGTTTATTAGGGAATGCTGATATAACTGGAAAGGATATCACTGTCTCATAGAACGGGTGCGACTTTTATGATGTACTGGGGATGCATCTTGCACTGCATGTCACTTGTGTTGCTAATTTCAATAATGTGAAAAACAAATCAGTGAAGCTTGTAAGGGGTCAGTTTTCTGCCATGCCATCTAAGCAAAATGTCAAAATGAGCAAGAACATGAAATCAATAATAATGGAAGTAGGAAATACGGCTCACTATGCACCAGACACTCTGCTAAGTACTCTACCTTTACTCACAAACTTATTTTCCTTGTAATTTGATTTGGTGGATATTATTCTTATCTCCAGTACACAGCTAAAGATCCAGAGACATAGGAAGTTCATTTGCTTGTGATCATACAGTTGGTAATTGGTAGATCTGAGGTTCATTGCGTGGCATTCTGGCTTCTATGCAGATACTGGTTAATTAAACAATTTGTCATCTAAAATATTAGGTTAATTTTTAAAATCCCTAGCAGAGTCATCATTATTCAGTCAATTTTTAAAAGCTATGCTTAATATGGTACATTTGATATTCTAAATATAGAATTACTTATCATACAACATGATTTCTAATCTTTGTCCAGTTGATCAGTTTTGTGTAACTATCTGATAATGTCTAATTTAAAAACAAATAACTGATGCTCTTGAACCTATAAAAAGGTTATTGATGTTACTGTGGAGGACCAGAGAATATTATTTTAAATTCTTCTGTGCCAGAAGATCACTGGTAGAAAAGCTCAGCTCTGCAGTAAGAGTGTAACACAACCCTGAGCAACATGCAGATCACATTGTATGGCCAAAATTTAAGTGCGTTTTAATGAAGAATGCAAGCCATGAGCAGAGTTGTACAAAATGATTAATAAAATTCTTCCGTTGTCCTCTTTGTTTCAGCTGCAAGACGTCCAGAATCACAATGTTGTACAAGAAACCATGAAGAAGCAGGACTGCTTGGAGAGGTACAATTGAAACTGGCACACCAAATAGCTTGAATATTTACAAAGAGGATGATTGTAGTATGGGAGTGGTATCAGTGAAACCAGAGAAAATTTTCAGCCTTAAACCATTTTAAAATGCAAATGTTCCATGTTATCCCTATATTTGTGCTTATCCAGAAAACACATTGAAAAATGGTAGTTACTGAATTATTTTTAAATCATTCAAGGATGAATGTAAATTATGTCTTAGATGTTAATAATTTATGTGGTTGGGTTTGTATTTACATATGAAAATAATTAATTAAAATATATGTTTCAGCCTTGAAAGTGAAAACTTGCAGTTAAAACTTACAATCAAAGAGCAATCAGACAAAATAAAAGAGATTCAGCAAAACCTGTTAAGTTCAAGTTCAGTAAGTCAATTATACAAAGTTTATGTCTGTCACAGTTTTGTATAAGATATTTTAGGAATGTAAAGGGTTTCTAATATAATTTTTTTTTATTTATATGCATATTCTTGGCACTCTTAGTGTTTAACATCTTGTTTTAAAACAAATCAACTGGATTCATAGACTTATTTTGGTAGTAACATTTTAAAAGTCATAGTAGTCTAAAAATAACATTTCATATATTTTATATTTTTGCTCAACCACTTATGAACATTTCCCTTTGATTTCTATGAATATGTTGCTCTGAGTAATGATACAAAGCTTTTTGTTTAAATCCTTGGTAATATTTGTATTTTCAAATTTTTTTTCCTGAAAGTCTAAAATGCTTTCTATGAGATTGTGTGACTGAAATACTTTTATGCTATAATCCTGTCAATAATGGAAAGTAGGTCATTATACATGATTTTTGCAATAATGGGAATTTAGGAGAGAAGGAGAGATTAGTGAATAAGCAGAGATGGGTCCCCAAACACATATTACCAGGAACATAATGCTGTTAGCATTATAAGTCTGGAAACTAACTTTCCATGAATATGTGTTTATAAGCCTTTGAAGGGCATTGTCAAATCTTACAAAATATTGGTGTGTGTGTAATCCATAATACCCATTTCTACATGCATAGTGGAAACTACATAATTATGTAATTGACTAAACAGAATTGTCCACTCCTGCTTTCCTTTGTAAAACTTAAGATCAAGGGCTGGTGTGATGGTGTAGCATCCCAATCCTCTGCTCACTAGTGCTGGCACTCCATGTGGGTGCCTGTTCATGTCCCAACAGTTCTATTACCAAACCAGTTCTCAGCTTATGGCCTGAGGAAGCAGCAGAGGATGGCTCAAGTTCTTGGGCTCCTGCACCTATGTGGTGGACCATGGAGGAAGTTCCTAGCTTCCAGTTTCAGATGAGCTTAGCTCTGACTATTGTGGACATTGCTGAAGTAAACCAGCTGGTCAAAGACCTCTCTCTGTCTTTCCTTCTCTCTTTGTAAAATTCACCTTTAGTAGTAAATAAATCCTTGAAAAATAAGATTAAGAGACTGTATGTAAACACTAAATTAAATCAGTTTAAGTGGCAACTCCTCATATTTAGGATCAGGATCTGTGCTAGATTTTTTTTTTCTCTCACATTATAGAGAAACATTTCAAAATTCCCAGTTCCTGGGCAGGAATAGCCCAGTAGTGAAGGGTGAAGGCACCTCAGTCTAAGGGAAGAATGGTTGGACTTGATGGCTGTAGCCAGCTCTGGCTCTGGATCCTAATTCCATCTTTCTGCCAGTGATGTCCCTGGCAGATGGTGGCTCCAGTGCTTGAGTCCTTGCCACCCATATGGGGAACAAGGACTGAGCTCTGGTTCCTGGCTCTCCCCAGCTCCTGGGGGTATTTAGCAGGTGGGAACTCTTTGTGTTTGACTTAGT